GTGTAGCTTGATATCTAGGAAGGGTAAGGAATTTTGTTCTGTTGTCTCGCACGTAAATTCTAAAATTACCAGCATCCCCATGTCGTGCGCATGCGTAGTCCTACCAACATAACAAATTTAGTCCGATGGAGTTCTGAAGGACGAAACGCGTCACAAGTATTTTTTCCACTTTATCATATAACTTCCTCAATACTGTTCTTTATATATATATATATATATATATATATATATATATATATAGAGAGAGAGAGAGAGAGAGAGAGAAATAGTACAGGTAAAAGATCGGTTGTATATATAAATATATATATATATATATATATATATATATATATATATATATATATATATATATATGAGAGAAACAGTTGTAGAGGTAATAGATCCGTTGGTATATATATATATATATATATATATATATATATATATATATATATTAAGACTTTTTTATGTTTATACATTCTTTTTATAGATACAAATATTTAAGTAAACGCTCTGTTTATAATAAACAGTATTAAAAAACATTTACCGGCCTGAATGTCCGAAAAGTTTCATAGAAAATATTCGTTCTCCGACAAGATTCGAACCTGTATCCTATACGGAATCGTCGTTTAGCCTGACGTGCCTTTACCGATTTGGCCACAGTGGACTGGAAAATTATAGATTTTGCACATGCACCTAATAGCTTTAAAGAGAGACGCAGGGTGCGTTTAAAGGAAAAGATTAGAATTATTAAATACAATGATCAATGCAAACTATTAAACCAAAGAAGAGAACTTGTATTCAAATGCAGGCACAAAAGCAGTTTCAAGCCTATATACGAATATACATCTTTCAATCACTCACTAACTAACAAAAAATAACAGGCCCTCAATTAATATAATCACGTCTGATTAAAGATTTACTTTAATATCTTCCCCTTAAAGATATTCTGGTACAGCTCGGCATTCCTAGTATTATAACCAAGCCTTAATGGTAGAAAGGGATGGTGTGTATATTTATGTGTGTGTGTATCTATCTATCTATCTATCTATCTATCTATCTATATATGTATGTGTGTGTGTTTGCATGCATATATATGTAGACATATAATTGCGTGTATGTATATGTGTTAAATCCACCATCACCTAATAATATAATCTACTAGCAAGAACCTAAATTCATTTACATACAGCTAAAGACCTTTGCCACAAATGACCCCCAACCTCGGTCTATCTCCCGGTCATCAACGCAGACTCCTTATCAAAACCAACGCTATCTAAACCAAATTTAAAAACCAACATTTCCAGACAGTCTTGGTCTGAGGATAGCTGGCACATAGCAGTGCTCGTTTGAAATAGACGATACCCAAATGAGATAACGGTATGTATATGTTTTATATATCAAGAACAGTATTGAGGAAATAACATGGCAAAGTAGAAAACATTTCTTAGCTCTTTCTCTCCAGGCGATATTAAACTACCCGAGGAGACACATTTGTAGTGTTGAAACATAATTGTAATCGTGTAGCGATTTTTAACATGTTTTTTGTTTTAATATCCTAAAATAAATAATATTTAGCTCTACTCTGTATTGAGCACTTTTTTAAAAATCAAATGTTACATATAGTGAAATTATACTCCATTTGTTCTCATTTTACCTGGATATATATATATATATATATATATATATATATGGGTGTGTGTGTGTGTGTGTGTGTGTGTGTGTGTGTGTGTGTGTGTGTGTGTGTGAAATATATAGAAAATAGGAAAGAACTCGTTAGGTAAATTATCCAAAATTCTTTACTATTTTTGTTATTATTTAAAAAACAGTACTCGATACAAAAGTAGAGCCTAAATATAATTATTTATTTAAAAATATGATTCCATCGCTACATAAGAGTTTTCATGTTTCAAAACAAGAGGCGAAAACTTCAATATAATTATTTGAATTAAATTGAATTAAAGTACCAAGCTCTGTTCCATCTTCAAGCGAAATTTTTTTTTTCAAAAAAAAAAAAAAAAATGATGAAACAGACTGTCGTCTCTAAGTGTTGACTTCTATGTTCACATTCTTATTTACTCACGCTCTATCCCTGATATTGAGCACTTTATCCCATAAATATAGCACACCTTAAGACTATATCACTTCATATATATATATATATATATATATATATATATATATATATATATATAAATTATTATTAAGAAACAGTACCCTTAAAGTTTTCTGTTTCTTAATAATAATGTTTGGTCTGTTTTTACATTGAGCTCTCTGGATTATATCCTCCTTGGATTTATCCATACGGATTATCAAACAATATCATTAACTCTCTCTCTCTCTCTCTCTCTCTCTATTATTGGTCCTGATCTGGTGGCTAGGCTTCTGTCATTTTCCCACTGCCGTAAGATTGCCTCTGTTTGTCTTTTCTATAAATATTTTAGGGTAATTGATTGGATGATTTCTTCGCTTGTTAAATTCTCCATCCCCTCCCTCATAATGGGGTCAGTGATGTCAGTTCTCGGGTGGGTGCGGGGCGTCTTTCGCTTCGGGTGTGTTTTTAAAATTTGTTGTGTTTGAAAGAGTGTGTGATTAAGTGAGTGCCTGGCATGATTAAATGTTTTATATTATTAAACTCCTGCATCGATTTCGTCCAGAGAACTGATGTTTCTGCCACATTTAAGGATTGTTGGGGATTTTATTACTAAAATTATTTGGTTTCTTGTTTTGTTTTCATATAGTAAATACTCACTGGAGCCAGTTTTTATATTGTTTTTAATTAATAATATTTAATTTTATTCCCCCCCTCACCAGTGAATGAATTGTATATATGGGGGCTAGTTAAGATTTTCATAGAGACAATGAGGTATTATGGTGGATGTAGTAAGAACAGAAGACCGTCCTTTTCCGCATTCCCCATTTTGGCGTTTTGCCACATTTATTCCCCTCCCCTACAGACAATGAATTGTATATATGAGGACTAGTTAGGATTTTCATAGAGACATTGTGGTATTATGGTAGATGTAAGAAAGGTAAGTAAGAAGACGTTGTTTTGGTGTTAGGATTATTGTTGTCTGTTTGGGTCAGTGTTTGTGGCTAGCTAAGTTTAAAGTTAAGACAGATGAAGACCTTCCCTATTTTTGGCCTTGTGCCACATTTTTTGTATTGAAGCAGAAATAAATATCGCTCTTTTCTATGATGCCTAGACTTTTTTAATTTAAGCCCAGTACTAGACTGATGTAGAGATTGCATTAATTTCCAGTTGAGCTGGCTAGACGTAATCATTAATTCTATCCTTGTTTGATTTTTCTGAACATTCTTTCAGGTTTTTTAAAACTATGAACTGGCTCCTGTTCTCTCTAAATTCTACAATAAATGACTTGTTACTTCTTGTTTTCCTGCATGTTGGAAATCCTCGTCTGATCTTTTTATTGGCCCATTAACCTTCTGCCTGTTTTTGGCAAAGTACTAAATGTTCTAATCAACTATAAATTTATTCAGCATCTCACCTCGAGGGTCCTCCTTTCAGATAAGCAATATGGAATTGGGTTCTGTAGGTCAAATGCTGAAGTATTAACGACAGCTTTTGAAAGTGTTTCTCAACCTTTAAATAAGAATGGTGAATCTTGGAACATTGCTTTGGATATCTCGAAGGAGTTTGACAGGATTTGATAAAATGGTTTTCTTTACAGGTTGAAAGGTTATTGTATTTCTGGTCGGATTTCTAAACTGATACAATTTTTCTTTTCTTATCAATTCTTACTTCCTGTGTAATTGTTCTGATGTACCTTCCTCTATGTTGTTACCTGGACTTTATGAATTTAGAGCGCAGTACTAGATTGGCGATAAGGTCTCATCATTTTATAGTTGAAATTGCTAGATGTAGCCGTACGTTTTATGCTAGCAGTTTCTTCCGGTTTCTTGTTTTCCAGCCAAAAATGTAAATGCAATATCAGTTGTTACCTTCTGTGTCCGTAATTTAATTCATTTTATTGTTCTTTCTCGCTTATAAGGTTTTTTTCGCATATTCTCAAACACTCAGCATCCACCTTGCGTCTTATTGGCTTTATTGCCTTACTTGGGGTGAAATCATTAAAAAGATATCTTCCCTGAAAGATTTTCTATAAATAACTCCATGCTAGTTGTTTGGATAAAGTCTTTGCTATGTTATCTAGACTTTATAAATTTAAGCGCAGTACTACATTGGCGGTAAGGTCCCATCCTTATATATTTGAAATGACTAGATATAACCGTAAGTTCTATGCTAAGAGCAGCTTTTCTCGCACTTTGCACTTGTGGAACTCTTTATCATCGTCTTGTTTTCCTGTCAATTTTGATCTTCAAAATGTTAATGTCAAACGTTATCTACTGTCTTCATGATTGCTCTCCTTTTATTGTTCTCTCGCCTTAATAACGTTTTTCCTTTTCTCCTCTTCTCTAGCACTCATTAACCCTTTGCGTCTTAGTGGCTTTATTTTTACAAGTGACTTGGGCACGTAGGCTGGTTCGTATAAGTGAATTGTACACACATTACTCAAGCTCCTGTTACGATCCACTGATAAGTGCGCCCTCATAACCAATGTTAATTTGTAACGCGTGTATTTTTTTGTTGTTAAACTCCTCTCCAATCGCAATAACTACTGGAGAAATATAAAGTATTAATCACAAGAGGTGAAGAGAAATGAGTTATTCATCAGAAAATATATGACCCCCCCCCAATCATTGGAAATACCTGTACTTAAATATATGAGCCTATTTACACTATTTACGTTTCGGCTGTTGTTGGCTCCGTCCTTCCTCAGGATATGTATCTATTTCTGAGATGAGTTACTGTAATTATTTCCACTACTTACATAGTTCGGACTGTTGTCTTTTTTTTTTTTTTAACATATTCATGACGTTTCTGCCATTGTACGTTCTGGCATTCTTCAGTGGTTGAATTTGGTGCTTACTGGCTAAGGCGCTTTATCTAGGTTCATTAGATACTTTTTTTTTTGAATGCGATGGTTGAGTAGTGGTTACTAGCTAGATAGACAGATATTGACAGACAGACAGACAGATAGATAGATAGATAGATAGATAGATAGATAGATAGATAGATAGATAGATAGATATGAACAAACTGAGATAGATAGACATAAACAGACTGAGACCGATAGATAGATATGAACAGACTGACATAAATAGATAGAAGCAGATTTAGATAGATAGAAACAGACTAAGATAGATAGATAGATAGATAGATAGATAGATAGATAGATAGATAGATAGATAGATAGATAGATAGGAACAGACTCAGTCAACCTGACAGACAGACAGATAGATAGATATGCACAAATTAAGATAGACATAAACAGAGACCGACAGATAGGTATGAACAGACTGACATTGATAGAAACAGACTGATTTAGAAAGATATGGACAGACTGACCCATATAGATAGATAGATAGATAGATAGATAGATAGATAGATAGATATGTGCAAACTGAGATAGACATAAACATACTGAGACCGATAGGTAGATATGATCAGACTGACATAGATAGAAACAGATTGAGATAGATAGATAGAAACAGATAGATAACTATGACCAACCTGGGACACACACACACACACACACACACACACACACACACATATATATATATATATATATAAATATGTGGGTGTGTGTGGGTGTATAAAAAATAATCATACATAGAATCAATCAGCAATATTAATGCGATTAATGGCGAAATCACTTCGCTAGTAGACCATAATGTATGCATTAAAATACTGTTATTCCATTAAATGATGTGATCCTCATTTATAAAACTGTGGTCAGATATTTGTAGTGTATATTTTTTTAAGTTAAACAAGTACTTTCGAAGATCAAATATCATCAGGGTGTAATTTTTTTTTTCCTTTAAAGTTAAAACTTGAAGACGAAATAATTATTTGCAGACCGAAAGATGTTTTTTTAAGAATCTGCTATTCATTGACGGTTGTACAATCTGAACGTGAATGTCAAAAGCTAGAGTTCATGAATTTTTATATGAATTTTGAATATGGTAAATCCAGAAACAGAGTTAACAGATATGAACTAAGTATATAGTTCAATTAATATAGTGATATGTCTTAGTAGATTTTTTCTCAGGAATTTCACTGCGGGATCAATTGTTTCTTTATAAACATAATATTAGGCAGCATATATTTATATATATATAAAGAAATAATCATTCATAGAATCAATCAGCCATATTAATGCGATAAATGGCGAAATCGCTTCGCTAGTAGAACATAATGTATGCATTAAAATACTGTTAATCCATTGAACGATGTGGTCCTCATTTATAAAACTGTTGTCATATTTCTTGTGTATATTTTATATATATATATATATATATATATATATATATATATATATATATGTAGAAACACCTCGCAAACGTTCTCGCATCTTCCTGGCCTGTAGGTTGACATTCAAAATGGCGTCCGTGACTTTTAATATTCACGGTCTCGTGCACACGCATCGCGTTACACACATGCTAATGATGTGTCTGGGCTCCATAAAAAGCAGGTTGCTTGGAGACATTGGCAGACCAACATTTCACCCGACATCGTTTTGCGTTGCAGACATTTTCAGACGGAAAGAGTTGCGTCCTTACACTGTTTAAGTCGACTCATTTGATATTTCCGGCAATTATTATGGACAGATTCGACTTGAAGTTAATACCAGAGTTCGACGGCTCCCCGCTGGCCCGTCTGTGGTCGATAGTGGGAAAAGGCCGAGCAGGTCTGCCGGCATAAAATTAAAGATCCCGCACTGGTTATCCCTCTTAGACTCACCAAAGGACTTACGCTGTGTATCAGCAGCTAAGGGATGACGCAGACTTGGAGGAAATAAAACAAGCTCTATACGCATATTTGGTGCGGACCCCTTTGTCGCCTGGAGGCGGTTTACCGAACGACGGCGGACCGGATGAAACATTTCTGGCCGATTTGAGGAAGCTGGCCGCACCGTTCCGTGGAGCAAGCGACCAAATCCTATGCGCCTTTCTGGCAGGACTCCCAGACAACGCAAGTCGACTGCTTTTCGTCAAGGCTCAATGAGCTGGGGCTAGACGAATTACTGGCCAGAGCCCGGAATATTCTAAAAGAACGCGGAGCCGGCCTCAGCAGCTGTGGAAGCACCCGCACCGCCAACTGAGGACATAAGGTGCTATAAAATATAGAACCACTTCTCCAAAGGCTGCCGAAGCCGTGCAAGGATACGGAGACGTGTTGCTTTTGGTGCGAAGCTGGGCCACGTAGCTGTCAAAACGGGCAGGGGAGTTACCGCCAGTCTTCTCCCCCAGAAACAAGGCGCTACCCGCAGTGAGCGTGCGGATTATGAGCGCTTCGCGCTTGTTGACACCAGGTGCGACCCTTAGGCATGTTGTGACACGTGGGACAAGAAAATATTCCAGTTCTTTTTCGCTAACCTCTTGTGGAGTGACGTCATCCGCGCAAGCATCGGCGATACTGTATGGTCGTGGACGGAGGGCTGCTCGGCTATATCTGCTCCTGGGAATGGACGTCATCAAAAATTGGGTGGTGTTCGTGTTGACGAAGAGGGTCGGGCGCGTTTCACTTTTTTACAAGGTGCAGCAATGGAGCTGGAACGGCCTGATTTCGTGCGGAGTTCGACCATACTAAGTCCTGGACGGTTCTTGGAAATGGTCGGACGATCAACCGCCAGAGAAGCTGTACAACAGTGTGCCGGAGTATAAGATCCCCCGCGATCGTGCGGAGTACGACAAGGAATTGCGATCATCAGAGAAGGAATTGGGGCTAATCTTTTGGCGGTTCTCCAGCACAACAAACAAAAAAGGTGAGGCCGGTGCTCGACTATCGAGAACTGAACGAGCACGTGGACCCCTTTTACTGCCCGCGCGGACGTGTGACCGAGAAGCTAAGGGAACAAGCAGGATAAATGTATCTGTGCTGGATTTCAATTACCTTCAAGTGCGTGTGCAAATCACTGTTATTTTTCAAGGGGCAACGGTATTGCCTGAATCTTTGGACTATGTGGCGCCATTTTGTACGCCATTCTAACGAACGATGAATCGCATACAGCGGGCAACATCTGCATTGATGAGTGTGCGTGAACGAGAATCAAATCTCTACAACTTTGGCCTCCTCAGCAAGGAACCGGAGAGACTTGGTGCACGGGTGCTTGGTTTGCATCTGGGGAGAAGATTTGTATTGGAAACGGGGAACTCCCAAATGCCCTCTGTTGTCACGCGGCGAAGCATTTTTTTTTTTTACACCTTCCTGTAGGTGGCTGGCTGCGTGTTGCGGTGGCGTTTATCAAGCGGAGAGCATCTGACGTCACCACTGGAACTTCAACGCCCTAACACCATGATAAGTTCAATTGGTGCGTTGACAGCCAGACCTCTGTGTTAGTTGATTTTTGCAACCGGCGTATCGATAGTTCACGATGGAGCCGTGGTATGTTGCTGGTTACGTTTCTATAAACTATAATGCTGTCATCATCAATATCTCTGAGTCGACCATATCTGTTCATATTTTGCGTTTATATGGATATATAAAGGGTGCGGACTAAAGCCACCAGCGAGATGCTTATCCGACGACGGCTCGACACGATCGTGAATTTTCAAGTATCAATGGAGGTGTCCTGGTCAAATCTAGCCAACAAAGCAGATTGTTTAACGAGGGTGCCGAAAGGTAAATGGCGAAAATCCTTCGATTTAATCAAATCAAAGCAACATAACAAAGTGGGCACCCTGGAGTAAACACTGTATTTCGCCAAGTTGGTTGACCGGGAGTACAAAAGACAGACGTCAGGAGACAGAAGCTGCGTGGTGCCAGTCTGTTTCGCTGGAAAAAAGGCACTGTTGGAGCCGGCTGGCGATAGATTTATCACCACAACGGCGAGCATTTCCTGACACTCATTGATATCCAGGTTTGCGATATGGCGACTGCTGCGTATATATATCATCCGTCAGTTAAACAGCATAACGTATATAACCGACAATATTCCTTCGATTTGCGGATGGCTGGGGGATGCACCATTCCGTGCGCCCCATACCGGTGGAAATGGAATCATCGAGCGGAACCACAGGACCGTCAAGACCATCGCAGCCAGGACAATAGTCGGTCTACTTACAACGACCCCCGAAGGATGATGTCTCACCCTCTACGGCGCCAACAGACACATTTCACCACGTTAGAGTGAAGGGCATGACGGAACTGAAAAAGTAACCGGAGAGGCTGAAGAAAAGCGATGTCGTCTGGATTAAAAATCACAGCAAGTTTCACGAAATACGGAATCGGACGCGTCACTGGGTGATCAGCCCACAGGCGGTACGGGTCGACGGTGTGCCCCTGTCACGTTAAGGACCTGCGTCCGTCGACGCAGTGCAACCACCGCTGGACGATGAGCGAATCGGAATCTGGACCAGTGAGGCATCGCTCTGGTTCACGCCAGCCCCATCAGGCAGTGACTCTCGGATATCAGTAGCCTTCCAAGGGACGCGGTGTCTTTCGACCCTCAGACCTCAGACAGGATCACAAGCAACGATGAGGCTCGCAGCGTCCTCTTCGAAGAAGTACCCGGCGCAAGCGATCACCACCTCCTGTCAACTCTGTGATCATGAGATCAGGGGAGTAAAAGAAACGGCCTACTCCGCAAAACGTTCTCGCATCTTCCTGGCCTGTGGGGTTGATTCAAAATGGCGTCCGTGACTTTTTAATATTCACGGTCTCGTGCAGTCACGCAAAGTCGCGTTACACACATGCTAATGAGGTGTGTCTGGGCTCCATAAAAAACAGGTTGCTTGGAGACATTGTTTCACCCGTCTTGGTGTACATCGTTTTGCGTTGCAGACATTTTTCAGACGGAAAGAGTTGCGTCCCTTAACTGTTTAAGTCGACTCATTTTACAATATATATATATATATGTATGTATCTATTCATATAGATAGCATCTCAGTCTATATCTACTTAATATAGAGATAGTAACAGACTGAGATGCTATGTCTCAGTTCCTTTTGAGGTCTGGGATGAGCTTGGGTCAGATTAGTCGTTCAAAGCAAGAAGTCTCATTGAGAGAATAGCCACCCGCCATAACAGGTGAATGTTCAGGGTCTGCTTGGTGAGGGCAGAACTTTATTGGTCTGGTTTTGGATATATTAGATTCTACAAGCTACTCCTTCCCTCGTTGATTTACCACGGATAGGTAATCCACAATTTCCTATTGCATATGAAAATTACAATTTCGGGTAAATAGTATATTATTTACATTATTTGGACTATTGTCCTCATCTTTGTCGCCATATTTATCACAACGTTTCGGCCGTTGTACGCTCCGACCTTCTTCAGGTGGTTGGAATGTCGAACTGAACTCTTTATTTCGCTCACTAGGGTAGACTGTTCTAGTTCCACGTGCCATGTCTAATGGAGGTCAGTTATCAGTTATCTCCTGCTTAATTCCCTCTGAAAGTTCTCCACTGCCTTAACCGGGTATTGAACTCACACTCTTTGGGTCCTGTCACTGGATCTAACCAACGCATTTATCCACTGTGCCATGTGTCCTTGACTGACATCCATCAAACATGGCACGTGGAACTAGAACAGTCTACCCCAGTGAGCGAAGTAAAGGGTTCAGTTCGGCATTCCAACCACCTGAAGAAGGCCGGAGCGTACAACGACCGAAACGTTGTGATAAATATGGCGACAAAGATGAGGACAATAGTCCGAATAATGGAAATAATATACATAATACCTCATCTCAGAAGTATAGACAGACTCGAGTAAATAGTGTTTTTGCTGATTCAAATGCGGTTATGGGATATATAGTCAGATGTAACAAAAAATGGACGCATCTGGAGAAAGTCGAATTTTGTAAGGCAAGTGAGCAATAGAATTCGTTTAATAATTCAGGATATTAATACAGCTGTACATATGTACATTATAAAAGTCAAAGATGATTTAGTATTTTGTTGAGTAACCTTTTGCATTAATAACGGTCTTAATTCTTCGTGGCATGCTATAGAATAAATTCTTTGTTAAGTCACCGTCCTTCGCCAGATTTTTCCATCATTACTTTAATTCACGAAAAAGCTCATCTTCTGTGTTGACACTCCTATTACGGGCACGCTTATCCATTATCGCCCAAAGGTTTTCAATTGGGTTAATGACAGGACTCTGACTCGGCCACAGGAAGAGTTGCAATTTATCCTCGTGGCGTTTCCTCTCTAGATAACTTTTATTCTTTAAGGCAGTATACTTAGGATCGTTATTGTTACTAATTCATATTTTGAGTTGTATAATGTACCTATGTACATCTATATTAAAACCCTGTATTAATAAACGAATTCTGTTACTCACTTGGTAAAATACAAAAATCGACTTTCTATGGGTGCGTCCATTTTTTTTGCCTCGTATTGTAAATTTAATAAAAGATGATAAATTCTAAATATTAGGCCTCAAACACACTCAATGGCGTCACCATAATGTTGCTCCGTTGTTTTTTTTTTTTCAGGACGTTTGCCTGAATTTACTAAAAGCCACGTCATGAGAGCGTTCCTTGAGAAAGAAGACACGGTGGAGTAATCGATAGCGGCCTGGATTGAGGAATTGGAGAGCCGAGTTCGATTTCCATGACGTGCTAATACCCTTGAAAAAGGTATGAATCATTTCTTCTTCCTCCACAGCTCTGGGTAAATAGCAGGACAGACCAGATTCTATAGACTCGGATGGCAACTGGTATACCGTAAAAAGAAATGTCAACCTACTGCGGGAAAAATATCTGCCTCGTCTATCGAAAGATACATGATCGCCTAAACCTGTATCACGCAAGGCACATAACTGACTTGAGAAAGAATAGATATGAATAACCTTGAGGCTTTTCCTGACCCTTCTCCCTAATGAATTCACCGTTATCATCGATGATTGCTTAAATAGGAGTTCTGAAACATAGGCATGCCCGAGTCAGATGATCTTTATCTATTTTGGAAACTGGGTTAGTTATGGCGGACTTCAGACATCGTAGTATGCTGGCGTTGATTTGATTTCCCTCTCGATTCCGCCGCTGAATTAATTTAGAACCTTTTTCTTTTTCTTTCGATCAATTTTGTTAGTAGGTATCGCACACTGTGATAATAGAAGTTCTGCCAGGAACGGTAAAATGTTGTAAGAGCCAGGGCGGAAATTTACTGTAGACGACCTTGCGATCAAGGAACTCACTAGACATTAACGTCGCAGTGAATTATATCTCCTTTGATCAGGGTAGCATTTTATTCTAAAATTTAAACAAATACCCAACATACCAAGTTTGTGCACCTTAGCCATACCAACATAAATTTAGTCTGATGAAGTTCTGAATGACGAAACGTGTCACAAGTATCCTTTTTCCACTTTGTCATACATTTTCCCCAATATAGGTCTTGATATATAAAAATATATAACGTTATCTCATATATATATATAATTGTATATTTAGGCAGCAATCCTTCGTTTATGCATGTTTCATTAAAAAGGAGATTACTTACTACGGTGAAGCTTTTTATTTAATTTTTCTTGTGTTCGAACATGAGCTTTCTTTTCTGGACAAAGGGTGTGTAAGAACTGTCCAAATGTTTTATATTTCCGAGCGCTTTCGGCTATACCTTTAGCCATTATCAAGGATGATTCGATTTTTCAGCTTAATTAAGTGTGTGCGTTCTGTGTATGTCTCAGTGTGTGGTAGGGATGTTTTTAATTTCCGAATACGGTTAGCATCTTGTGGCCTTGTTCGTAGTTAATACTGTTAAGACTTAGCTTTTATTAAGATTAAAAATAATGGAAGCTTTAATAATAAAAAAAAGCCAATTCTTAACAATTTTTTTAATGAAACATGCAAATATATATATATATATATATATATATATATATATATATATATATATATATATGTATGTGTGTGTGTGTGTGTGTGAGCGCGCGCGCGCTCTGTTTTTTCACTTCCCATCTTTAAAAAGACTTCATATTGGCGTTTATTTATTTATTTTTATTTTTCCTTCTAAAATGAAATGTAATTATTGAGTTATTGAGTTTCAGTGAACGTGAAGAAAATTATTCTATACCTCACGGCAACGAACATACATATATATATATTTAAACACAGACACACACACACATATACACATACATACATACATACATACATATATATATATATATATATATATATATATATATATATATATATATATATATAGTAATAATCTTATAAATATAAGAAATTATACTCGTCCGAAAACCTTCAGTCTTGATTTGCGAATAATCAAACCAATACCAAAGGGAAAAGAAGGTATGAAAAAGAAAGAACAAAGAACATGTACGTGAGCCGAAAATAATCGTCTAGTACGCAAGTCCAAAGTTCAAAGTCCAAAGAAAAAAAACCCCGATACGAGTAAGCAAAATAACTAAATAAAGTGCTCAATACGGTAAGTAGAGCAGACCTAGTTAAACCTAGAGAGCCAGACAAAACTACCAGCCTTCCCTGACGATCCGCTTAGGTAAAACCTTGGTAGGTTTGTCTGGCTCTCTAGGTTTAATGGTATATATATATATATATATATATATATATATATATATATATATATATATATATATCAATTCTTCTTAGCAGCAGGTTTAATTATCTCTTGAGAGTTAAGTAAAGGTTTTCGGAATATAGAAGAAATGCAAATGAATAAATATAATCAACTTTACAAAGAAAAGTTTTTACATTTGCTCTTTAATGTTTAGATACTCAGAAATATCATTCCACTTTAAGAGACAGAGGGCGCATCGTCGAGAGACTGATAGGCAGACTAACGAAGGAGAATTCGATTTATTCGTTATTTGGAAAGCGTTTTGCATTGAGGTATCACGTTGGCTGCAGTAAGAATGGTAAGTAAGAATGTGTTGTTTTGGTGTAAGAAATACTGTCGTATGTTTGGGTCTGCAAATGTGGCTAGCTAAGTTTTAAATGAGACAGATTGAAGACCAGCCTTCCCCTAACTCAACCCTTCTGGCCTTGTGCCACATTTTTGTATTTGCAAAATAAATATTAGTTTCCTCTACGGTACAAATTGTACATAAGTGGACTAATTAGGACTTTATAGAGACTCGAGGTATTATGGTGATTGTAGTCAGAATGGTAAGTAAGAATATATTGTTTTGATGTAATGAATACTCTAATAGGTTTGGGTCAGTAATTGTGGCTAGCTAAGTCTTAAATGAGACATACTGAATACCAGCCTTCCCCTATCCCTCCTTTTGGCCTTATGCCACATTTTTGTATTATTCAATATAGATATTACTTTCCTCTATGGTAACTAGACTGTATGAATGTAAGCGGAGTACTAGATTGGCGGAAAAGTCTCATCATTTTGCAGCTGAAATGTGTTATTGTGGAACACACCTATTCTATAGTTAATAGACTCTCCCACCTATAATAAATAGGGGTAGTAGGAGTCGCTCAGTGAGTCGGGCAGTCATTCGATGCCGGACGACCGTTAGTCGGATACTAAAGTATCAGCGACCACAACTAGATATTCTCTGCGTCATTACCTATTATATCAAGTTCCTAATGTTTTGTACGTCGAACCTATTTTAGGACCGACTTAGTACAAATACAAGCATCCACTCTATAAGAAAATGGTTAGATACAACCGTAAGTTCTATGCTAATAGTTTCTTCTTCCGCACTTGTGGGTCTCACTTCTGGCTTCGCGCTTCTCAGTCAACTTTGATCATTTAAAATTTAAAGGCAATGTTAATCATTATCTTCTGTCTTCTTAATTCTTGTTCTTTTATTGTCCTCTCCCCTTAATAGTGTTTTTAGTTTTTCTCATATTCTCAATCACTCAGCAACGTCTTGCGTCTTAGTGGCTTTATTAACCTGTTTGGGGTGAAATGATTTAAAGAATAAGAAAAAAAAAAAACTGCGACAGAGAATACCACAGACTGCTGATGATGAAGAAGAAATATTTTGCGAAAAGTATATTTGATTCAATGAAAACGCCTAAAATAGCGTACAAATTATACAAAAATTAAATCTACCTATGATCGATTGTTGACAAATCGACGCTAACAAAATCCCAGTTTTCTCATTTGTCAAAAGTCGTTTACTAAAGAGAGAGAGAGAGAGAGAGAGAGAGAGAGAGAGAGAGAGAGAGAGAAAAAAAAAATATTAGGAGCTGATTTATGCACAATTCTTTTTTTTTCCCTAATGATGGCTTTCGCAAAAGCCGGTGTCATGAATGTATTTAAACGATTTGCCCGAAAAAAAAAACAAAAAAAACAAAACAAAAAACAAAAGAAAAACACACAGATACATACAAAAAAAAAAAAAAAAAAAAAAGAATGAAATAAACAAATTCAAAACAAACTTACCGATTCAAATCTAAAAGTGTCAAGTCCAGAGAATTAAAAATACAAAGATTGATTTAAAATAAAATTTGGAGAAAAATGAATAAAAAAAAAAGTGAGGCTCATTCAAATTTATTTTCAGTGACAACGACAACCAAAATATTCATCAAAGCCAGAAATGGTGGCTTGGAATACGGTACCCAATTATATCTATCTATCTATCTATCTATCTATCTATCTATCTATCTATCTATCTATGTTCCTTATCTATCTATCTATCTAGATAGCTAGCTAGCTAGCAAGCTATGTCTGTCTGTGTGGCTGCCTCTGTCTGTCTGTCTGTCTGTCTGTCTGTCTGTCTGTCTCTCTCTCTCTCTCTATATATATATATATATATATATATTTCATTCACACACACACACGCATATATATATATAGAGAGAGAGAGAGTGTGAGATGTAATATTAGTGGTCAATCTCTCTCTCTCTATATATATATATATATATATAAATTCCCAAGAGGATAGAATCCAGGTAGAACTCAATGTCCAGGACAGAGTAAGAATATAATAAAAAAGGCTCAAACACTAATATTCCATGGTTATAATTTATTACATTGGAATCGTAATCACGATTCAATTTATCAGATCTACAAATTTCTAGGTCTGATGAATTGGATCGTGCTTCCGATTCCAATGTAATAAGCAAACTTCATGAATTATGGATTTCCTGGATTAGCTGAATCCACGGAAAGAGAAAACATCATTTTTGGATTGGTTTTCAGGTCCTGATGTTTTTCCATGCGTTCTTTGCCAGTAAACTAAAAAGATTTGTTTTCAAACTTAGCGAACCTCTTGCAACATATTGTTTTGATTGATTTCTTTTGTTCTACCACATATTAACCTCAATGTGTTATTTAATGCCGACAAAATTTTATTTCTGGTAAAATTTTGTTTTCAAAAATTAGTTGTTGGTAATATTTTTTTGCCTTCAAAAATCTATTTCTGGTAATATTTTTCTTTCAAAACTCTATTTCTAGTAATATTTTTCCTTTAAAAATCTATTTCTGGAAATATTTTTTCCTTCAAAACTCTATTTCTAGTAATATTTTTTCCTTTAAAAATCACTTTCGGATAATATATTTTCCTTCAAAACTCTATTTCCGGTAATATTTTGCCTTCAAAATCTATTTCTGGTAATATTATTGCTTCAAAATCTATTTCTGGTAATATTATTGCTTCAAAATCTATTTCTGTGGTAATATTTTTTTTTCCTTCAAAAATCTATTTCTGGCAATTTTTTTCTTTAAAAATCTATTTCTTTAAAAATCTATTTCTGGTAATATTTTTTCCTACAAAATCTATTTCTGGTAATTTTTTTCATTAAATATCGATTTCTGGTAATATTTTTTCTAAATAATGTATCGCTGGTAAATGTATAACTACTAATATTTTTTTAAAGTATTCCAGGTAATATTTTTGCTGGTAATATTTTTTTTACAATGTATTTCTGGTGTTAAACCTACTTTTAACTTTTTATAGTGTTTTGACCCCAGTTTAGGGTTTAACTATTTACCCATAGCTGGGACCCTAAAAGGTGGTACCAATCCAGGTCAGGGTGGACCTGGGAACACCAGCAATTAAAAGGTGGTTCCACGCTCCTCAAAATCTCCTGATCAGAGGCCTTGCTGTTGGACATAGTTTATCGTCTTACCTAGGACGGTTGCAACATTTGTACAAACTACATGATCTATATATAAAACTAGTAGCATGGCCCGGTGTTGCCCGTGCTTGATTCAAAAATCGTACAGCAATCTCTATCACTTGACTTAAAATATTTTTGCCCTTCCTTGCCTTTAAAGGAGTGCCCTTTGCCGTGCTGATGTTGCTACATGCCTTACTTCTTGCCTATCTCACACTGCGAATTTTTTCTAAGCTCTATACTAAACATTAAATCTGTTACAAAAAAAGAACTAAACAAAATGAACACAAAACGATCAGCTTTAAAAAAGGACTCGTAACTGGAAAAACTGAATGAAAAAAGAATATTAACAACAAATACTTTTTCACACCTAACCCAGTTCTGCAGATTCAGAATCAATGTTGAGTTTAAGCAAGTGAATGAGCCAATTGGAGTAAAGTGCTATGCAGATTTAAATTTTTCCCACTTTTGACGAATGTAGATTTTTTTTTTTTGCATGATAGCATGCTCGTTAACATTCGTGTCAGTCAGATGTTGGCTCTCACGCTGGCCAATAGAATCTTCCTGCCTATTCGTGGCAGCCAGCTATTGGCTCTAACTCTGGTCAGTAGAAAATGACTGCAAACTACATGAAAACTGCCGTAGAAGCATGAAAAAATCGATGGGAGTTGGGAAATGCAAAGTCGGTCTTGGCCTTCCCGCTAACTTGGAGCATGTGCAAATCCATCGAAAGTTGCGGCATTGCACTCGTTATAGACACACACACACACACACAGACACACACACACATCCTGTCTTTTATAGATAGAGATTCTGTAAATTCCGTTAGTACGTACGTCCTTCCGTTAGCCTCACCATCTAAGATAGACATACATTGACCAATCAAAACCAAATTAGGAGGAGAAGTGTAAATGGATCAAGAGGTAAAATTTGGTTGATTTTACAAGGGGGTGTTGCTTAGTTCAATAAATATTTCTTATATATTTTCGAAAAATTAAAATTTTATTATTTAACATACAAAATACTCCCAATATTTTAAAAACAATTTAATGATTAAAATAACAAATACTTATTTCATAAAAATGCAATATTGTTTTTTTGCATATCTTTTCATTAAGTTTTTATATACAAGAATCCAGTTTCTAGTTCGTCCTGCGTTTGCGGGAACCCTAAACAACGCATGGCCGGTTGTATGTTGCATGCTCAAGATTAACTCTAAACAAATCACAAGGCCAAACGCTTCAAAAATGTTGGGATATTGACTCTAGAAAAAATTGTTGGTCCGTTGTATGTTGAATGCTCAAGAGTATGAAATCCTAAGAATTTATTCTTCGCTGTTAAAAAGGAAAAAGATTAATTTAAAAACAAAATATTGTTTAACAGGAAATTCTATAAAATTAAACTAAAAAAAAATTAAACCATTAAGTAGGGTTTTGTAAAAGCATTTTTCCAAACAAATCAGTTAATTCAAATTTGAACGCTTGGTTTGCGAAATTGAGCGAAACGTAGAGTTTGTAAATCTTGACCAAAATGTGAACGATAACTTCAACAATACTAAATACTGTGGGAATTTCAACAAGCTGTTGCAAAAAAAAAAAAATTGGAGCTTCTGTAAACTTCAGCGAACTCCTGCCAAAATTACTTTGAAAAGCTGTCGATTGTTACTGTTTTATATTCAGTCATGGTTTTCAAATGGCAAATGTCAAATTGCCTGTAAGTAATTCTTAAACAACAGGCAGTCACATTCAATAAAAATGCTGATTAAAACTTCAAATCTTTTCTAAGACTTCCATTTTTTCGCGTGCAATACACACACACACACACACACACACACACACACACACACACACATATATATATATATTGAACAATAAAAAATATTAAAAAATTAAAATCTTCAGACACACTGGGTTGTAGATTAATATTCTTTCGTTTTTATTATTATTATTATTTCATTTAGATTCCTCGGCGAGTTTCTTCCGAAATGGCCATCATCAGGAGAAGAAATATTTCTGCTTGCTGTTAGCAGTGAACTACAGAAATGAATGTCTTGATGGAGAAAATGAACTTTTGTCTGTAGTTTTCATTTGTTTTTTTATTTGCTTTTTTATCTTTTTAACATGAATCTTTTAACATTCCTTGTGTTGGCCAAACAGTCTCTTTTAAGTTGTTATTGAGATAAGAGCTGGATAGATACATGCTGAATTCTCTGGTCAGTTTGACAGTTTTATTGGACCTGGTGAGGGGATGTGTCTCTTTTTAGTGTCTGTGTGTGTGTTATTTGGTTCTTAGGGAGTGACTGAGTATGATATGTGTATGCGTGTATATTACTATGGTTGTGTGTTATCATTTGGCTCATTAGGGAGTGAGTGAGTATGATGTGTGTAAGTGTGTATGTTCGTGTGGGTGTGTGTATAAGTGTAAGGCCTCAACACCTCCGTAAGCATGTCTGTCTTGTGTGGGTGAGAAATGTGGGTAGGTTTTGATTTGTAGGGTTATATATTAATACTATCTATATTGTTAAATTTATGGTTAAGCCCAGCTGGATAGTGCGTTTTTAGACGTTGTATCCACTTATTTTCATGGAACTCTAAAATCTTTCTAATGTTATCTGCTCTGAACTTTTCAATTCTCTCAATTATAGTGAATTTGGCATAGGTTTTGAAATCGTGTTTTTCCAGGCGGAAATGTTGTTCTACAGGTAATAATTTTTCATGGGGAGTCGACTTAATTCGATGGCGATAATTATTAATTCTCTAGTGAAAGGGCCATTCAGATTTTCCTACATATTGTTTCTGGCATAGTGTGCATTCTAGGAGATAAATTATATTATGACTTCGACAGTTAGAATCGCGGTAGATTTTGAAAGTAGATTTAGTGATTGAGCTAGTGAATGAATTCGTGTGTCTAATGTGGTTGCAGCATAAACTTCTTTTGTTGTTACCTGGTTGGGAAAATCCTGTTTTTGTTGTTAGTTTATTACGGATTACCTTGTCCCCTGAAATGTGGTTACTACCTATGATTTCTTTAAGGTTCTTAGGTCTATGATATGCAAGAAGCCCGGGTTCCTTTAAATCATTTTTATGTTTATACATTATTTTTATAGATACAGATATTTAAGTAAATGCTCTTTTTATAATAAACGTGTATATATATATATATATATATATATATATATATATATATATA